GACCCCCCGTGTATGGCTTTGCGACCCACCTGGGGGTCGCGACCCACAGGTTGAAAAACACTGCTGTACACAATTTAAACTAATTGTACATGTGTTTATAATACAGTATATATTAAAGTACATAAGGAAGTAATGGTACTGCAAGAAAAAATTTACAAAATTGGCAATGCCACTATTAAAAAAAGGTTGAAAACCCCAGGTCTAATGGATATCTTCAATGTCTTGAAAAAGTTTTTCTTTCAGCAGCAATTTCAATTTAAAAATACAAAATAGTTACAGGAAAATATGGAAGATGACTGAGCATAGGCAAAATAATTCAAGTTTTGGCAAAATAATTCAAGTATGAGATTACTCTGAAATCTAAATACAGTGGGTAATCGGTTAACGAACATAATCTGTTCCAAGACCATGTTCACTATCTGATTATCGATTTACCATAGATTTTTGTGGGAATTTGATTATCAGTTTTTTAAATAAAAAGTTCAGAAAAGCACTTACAAAAATTCAGAGAATAGAAATTAACTGAAAAAAAGATTATATATACAACTGTGAAAGTCTCGTTCCATAAACCATGTATAGATGCCATTAAAATATAGTTTTACAAATCTTAAACGCAGCGCCACTTCTTGTATTTGTTCTGTCAGGTGTTCGTTATCCAAACACATGTTTGTTGTCTGAACATAAAAATCTTTCGCAAAAGTGTTTGTTGTACAATTTGTTTGCAGTCCAAATTGTTCATTAACCAATCACTCACTGTATACAGTAAGCTAGATATTATCTAGTATATTTTAATAAGTTGAAATATTTCTATTCAGCAGTCATGCTGCTCTAGCAGTAACAAGTGCCATAAATTCTTGCACAACTGCTATATGGATGAATGGATTGTCAAAAAACAACTGTCTGGCATATAATAGTCACATGCAACACAAATAATGTTTCCATGATTGTAGAAAAATGTTCAAATAACAACTTATAGAACAAACTCATGATGAATAATAATATTGTTATCAATAAGTTTTTCATTAAGAACTGAATTTGAACATCCTAGTCTATCATCATCATCATCATCATCATCATCATCCATGTTGTCCCCATCTGTCTTCAAAATATGCATACCAGTGAAATATTTGTACACAAGACAGATACTTATCTCCATACACAGTGTTTTTTCTCAATCCTTTTTTTTTTTAATAGTGACATCCTGAACTTCATAATGTTTTCCTGTGGTACCCCTACTTCTTTATTAATGTAGAAATATTGCACTTTTGTATTTTTAGTAATACATGTAAGATATGTTTTGGTGCTGCTCAGCACTATTTCACAGCATCCCAGTTGAAAACCATTGAGTTACCATATCAATTCATTGTCTCTGATGTAGTTTTTTTAGTTCAAAAGCAGTATTAAATATTTGTAATTTGCTCCATAGCAATTTTAAGGCAACAGTCTCAAGCATAGTCATCAATATGAGTGTAAAAAATTTCAAATGTATTTTAGACTAATGCTATCATGTTAAAAGTTACATCCAACACCCCAAACTATTGGCATTCATTGATAGCTACCATTGACAATATGTCTTATAAATAACTAGTTTCATTATTTAATTATCAGACTGTGTATATATTTTATAAATTCCTAAGAACATAACATTACATATATTAACATAACATATGTTAAACAAACACAACACTTTAGCCCATTAATCTGGTCAAAAACATTTGTAATCTGTTGGTATAAAGTTTTATACACTGGTAAAGGTGTTGTGTTGTTTAAATTTCTAGGAATTTATAAAACATACATACACAATATTTTATGAAAAAAAAAATATAGAATTTAAACATCATGTCATGTAAACTTGTTTCTTTGAATCTGCAGGAATTATATTAATACATTTATTAATAAAAAATAAATTACTAATTTAATTTCTTCTTGTAAATTTTCATCAAGACTATAGCGTTCAGATTCCCCAAAAGTAGCACCAACATGATTCTGCATACGAATTTGAGATAATAATTCCTTTAAACGACCCTGGAAATTATCAAAACAAAATTTAAAAAAAATTATAATTATAATAATCATCATCAATAAGTTAATACGAAAAAATGAAATGCATTTACAATATAATTAAAAAAATAAATTATACACAAAAAACTTATACATACACACCCATTAACAAAAACAGTTATACACCAAGGAGGAAACATTGGAATCAAATAAAATGTTATTAGTGAGAATGTAATGACAATAGTAACAAGTGATTATAATATTATAGCAAAGGGACAATTTTCTGGGAAAAAATGATACAATTTAAAATGAACCTTTAGTATCTCGTAAAACCTTCTCTTTCCTGGATACTTATTGCCATAATTGAAAGTTTACAAGCACCTTGTGCTATCATCTGACAGATTTTGCCATAGATACTGCAGCTGTCACTCAGATTCTCACACTTAAAGATAGCTGAATTTGGTATCCTATCTGGTGCAATAAATAACATGAATAACAATGAATAACAAATTTGGAGAATGGGCAAGCCAAGGAAGAGTGGCAATTTGATATAGACACCTTAGCTGTATGCAACTGAGCAGTATCTTGTTGGAAAATTGTTGTTTTCAGTCTGCAAGGGCACAGAATTTCCTTAACATACACATGTGCCACTACTAGGGGATGTCTAACTGCCATACAAGAACTATCACTGGTGACTACTTTAATTCTGCCTTTAAGTGGCACACTTAACAGTAAAGGCAGAATTAAAGCACTCACTGGATCAAAGCACAAATATGTGGAGGTTGTCCTTTATGTTTTGAGCAGATTCTACTGCACACACCTAAAGTTACAGAGTGGTATGGATTCACAACCACATTTATTTACAGAAGAAAGGTCTATTCTTATTTGAAGAAGCTAGTTCTAACAATCTATGATACATCTATGAGATGCTCAAAACTTTGTCATATCCAAATGCAATAACAACAATGCTTTGAGTCAACCACTGTCATACAAGATGGAGTGCTCCACATATTAGTTGCTGCATATAACAGTTTCAACATTTCAATATAACAGGGTAACTAGTCATGTGTTTCCTATTACATACCCAACTTTGTTCTCTGGATATTAATCCATATAACTTTACTAAGAGACAATTAAAAAGTGTGGTTTATTGAAGATATGTTGCAAATTTGTAGCCTTGAAAAGATATATTGCATTGCTTATGAAAAGTATCACAGAAGATCAATTATTCAATGGTCAACTGTAAGAGCAGTCATTCCATTGAACACAGTTTACTCTTTACACTTTACACCTCTAGAATGGGAACAACATTGAACTGCATAGTTAATACCTCTGTGTCTTACATACTTAAGATGTTTGCAACACCAGAAGTGCCATAATGGTGAGTTTTGGTACTAATTTTTCTTTTTTACAGAAATGCTTTCTGCATGTCCTGAAACATTATCATACCAGATTTAGTTGCATTTGGACTGCTAAATACCTACCTATCTAGATAGTACTTTCTCACCTGGTATACAACATATAGCATACATACTCAAATATTCCATACTTTTGTTTAGCATACTTTAAAGATATTATTCTTCCTAATCAAGGTGTCAATAACTTAACTCAGGTACCAAAATCCTCAGATCCTGGTGCACTGCACTGCTTATACCTAACTAAATCCACCAGTTATATAGATTAAGCTAATTTCCACTAAATTAAAAAAAATTCTGTAATATTCAATTTAATCACTATCAGTGCTATTTAACGTAATTATTCTCTATCATAAAACAGCTTTTTCTTTGAGTTCAATTTTTCATTTTTAAGCTCTAACACTATGTTCATTTTCTTAGTTTCATATAAAAACTTATCTATTGTTGTAGATTTTAGATATTACAAACTATTAAAAGATAATTTTGAGCTTCTCAATTAGTTATTAAGCAAACAAATAATTTTTATTTGATGAAAGTGAAAATAAATTTTGTCAAACCTTAAATATTATTATTGGTAATATTTTATACAACTGAAATTTGACTGCTAAAAATTTTCAATATTTGATTATTAATTGCTAAGCTCTTCAAAATCAAATTAATTTCAATCTATTGTTTACATTAAATATTCAGTTTTGAAACCCTAGTTTTTAAATATAATTAAGAAATATGAACATTTCTTAAAAATATTTTTGAACTAAAATAAAATACATACATATATAATGTTATGTATATTTATTTTATATTAGTTATTTTGTTCTGTACATATGGCTGTAATTAACTTAATAACAATATATGAGTATTTGCTCAGGCAGGAAAAGAAAAATAAAGGTTTTGGAAGAGAGAGAATGTGTATGTGTATGTGTGTCTTTACTGAAGTATATGATTACAAAATAAAAATTAATCTTAACAAATAAAAAAAAATATACACACACACTATATATATATATATAATCTGTGTGTATCTTATTACCTGTTATTATTATATTATCTGTGTGTATTTGTTAAATACTTACCTTAAATTGTGTTGGAGCATTTAATTCGGCCTGAATTGCTTCTAATTGAACTCTAAGTTGTTCTTCATCTGCTTGTATGGCATAACCATATTTACGCATAACTTCCTGTTGTGCCATTATCTAATGAAAAAACATTTCAAATTAAACTAAGTTTAAAAAATTACTAAATTTAATAAAAAAACAAATATACATATACTACATAAAAATTATTTATATTTTATCTCAAAGATGAAATTAATGTATAAAATAATGCTTTAAAACCAATTTATCTATTTCAAGTGACATGAAAAATTATTTAAATAGCTATGTCTGTATCTTGTTATATTCTTAATATTTATAATAATTAACTATTGAATGTTAAATGAGTAAAATCATAAAAACCACATTTCTTATTTTCATACATTTATCTTGAAATTGTGAAAAGCAAAATTACAAAAAAACATTAATTTTTTCTTATTTGCTAGCTACATTTAAAAAAGGGGACAAAGAAGAATGGAAGAAATTTTTGAACCTTTAATACTTTATGTCCAAGTTCAATTTGCTTTCTCTTGTGTTCAGAAATTTTTGCCAGTAGAGTTGAATGCCTTCTTTTTAATTCTGAAATATCTTCAGCAATTATCTAAGTATAAATAAATTTACTAATATTAATTTTAATTTATATATAATGTCTATATTTAAATGAGCATATATTTTTATTTTTAAACATATACCATCAACTTAAAAAAAATTCATATTTTGGAGAATTTGAAAAATATTACAATTATATATAAATCATAACGATTGATATAACAAAAATAAACAGTATAACTAATTGATAAATATCTTTTAGAATACAAAATAATCTAAAGGAAGAACAGTGGTGCCTCGTATAACGTACTTAATCCGTTCCAGGTGCACGTCCATTAAGTGAAAAGTCCATTATATGAAACGCATTTTTCCATAGAAATACATGTTAAAACATATAATTTGTTCCGCAGCATAAAATAACCGTACTGTACCATAAAAAATGAAAATGAACCAATCACCAATTATGCCAGGTAGTCAGATGTTGTGAAGAGGAGGTGGAGGAACACTTTCTTCACACATTCATACAGATACAGACTTTTTACACATTGCAGCAGGTCTCTTTTTATTGTTTTTTAATCAGAGTCAGATTTAGGAGAGGCTACCGGAGCTTGCAGGGTCAACTCCTCTTGCTCAATCCTTTGTTTTTTGGCAGCTGGCTTCTTGAAAAACATATCCAAGGTGGTCTGTTTCTCTCTCTCTTCTTCAACACCTGTCGGAAATGACGGGCAAGGGTGTCATTGTAAAGATCATTGATCCTGTTAGCATCAGCTCTGTTTGGATAATGAGTGTTGGTAAACTCCTGAACTTCTCCCCATCTGACAAGGAAGTTTTTTTCAACTTTCACTCCTTCTGATGATTTCTTGCTTTGTTTCAATTAAAAATCAACTTTCTGTTTTTTAGAAGCCATGATTTGCACAACACTTGAATAAATGTAAATACCCTGCACTTAGGTGATGTACGTAATAAACAAGGGAGCAAGCCAAATCCCAACGGGAGCTCTGTACTTCAGATATACTAATAATATATTCTAATCATACTAATATATTATAAAAATAGCAGATTGTCATTAGCAATGGCAAAAGAGTGGAAACATAATTTGCACTTGTTCGCAGCCAGTCCATTGCTCGAGTCACATAACGACCAAACAGAAAGTCCATTGTTCGCAGCATCCATTATTCGAGGTGTACATTATACGAGACACCACTGTACTTAGTAACATATTTATACAAATCAAACTAATATTATATATCTATTGTCTATTTAGCAATACAGCTGTTATCAATATAATGTTAATTTGATTAATCAAGATGTTCAATTACATATGAAAAACATCTGTAAATTTAAATTTATAAACCAGTAATTTAACTAAAATATTCATATCCATGACTACAGTTTTTCATTTCATAAAAACTGTAGTCATTATACTAGTTACAAGTGTAGTCACTAAACTGTAGTCATAGATATTCTTAAATTTTCTTTTATATTTTATGTAATGCTTCATACATTTAGACAGACTTATTTATTTTGAATAAATCAAAATTAAATGTTTTGTCACTTGAGTTTAAAAAAAAAGTCAAATTTATCAAACTTGAAAAAATAAGATTAAATATCTTTATTGATGAAACTTAAAATGAAATTTCTATTTGCGTCAAATAGTTTTCTTATTGATATAACAACTACATTGACTACAAGCAATATCATTTAAGATCCGCAGCAAAACTAGCATCAATAATAATTAAATTTTATTAGATACTTTCAAGCAAAATTCAAATCTATAATATAATTATTTGTAATTACAGTAAAGCGTTGTTTATCCGAAAGAATTCCAGTTGGCAAATTTAAATTTTCACTAGTGCTGTGGCACTGCAATCTTTGGCTACTACAATATTTTTTTGTTGATGTGTGTGTTTTAGCTGGCAGCACTGGCACTTTTGTGTGGTGTTTTTTTGAGGACTGTGTGTCATGCTGAATCAAACATTTTTGATACCAGATTAACGTCTAAAGTATAATTTTTTTTTTGTTTTTATATTTTTCAATACATTTATTTTGTTTGTAAAAAATAAAGAAATAATGTTTAATGACACAATAGCCAAAATTATTATTTTAAAAAGTTTACATTAGGCTTAACATCGACGAAAATTCAATGTGAAGCGACACGAAACGGAAAAAATTTCAACATGGGATAGGTTAATATATTTTTTGTACATAATCGGTTATCCAAAAAATAAGTTATCCAAACAACCCCAGTTCCCAATTAATTCGGATAAATGACGCTCTACTGTAGATCAATTTTCTTCAGAAAAATATTGTAAAAAATTAAAACAGTTAATTTGAAGAAAATTCAAAGGAGTTTTAAATAGTATGTACATAAAATGTAAACATTTTGAAAGTATTCAATATAAACCAGCAAAATCTGCCAAATAAATTTATATAAATATGAATTGAAATAAAATTAATGGACATATATGAAAGTTATGTTATACTTAAACTAAAAAGTTTATAACACAATAGTTTTATAAAAGCGATAAAAAATAATAATACATCTAATCTTTCTTGATGCTGTTTTGTTTCGTGTTCTTGATATTTTAAGCGTCTTTTAAGTTCACTAAATCCTATCATAGGCACAGGAATCAATTTCTCTGGATCAGGATTATCAAGTTTTGCTTGTTGCCACAATAAAGGATCAATTCCTAAAATTTTATATTTAATAAGTCAGTTAGATTCACTTTTAATTGAAATATAACAAACAAGTTAATTTATAAGATAAACAAAACTAACTTACCCGCAACAGTATTATCTAAATATTGCTTTAACTGTTCTTTAGTAGGTGCTGCTTTTGAAATCAACCCAACAACATCCATAGAAGTTAGAGGTGCTTTACTTACAGGCTGCTCTAAAAATGCCATAACATCTGTAGATGGAATTCGACGTGACATACAACCATGTGGTGATCGTTCCACAAGATAGATAATAACTTCAGTTCTAATAAACATATATTTTAATTAATAAAAAAAATATTATAAATATAAAAATATAAGTTGTTTTGTAAAAATGACTAAAAATAATTTTTAATGGATTATTATCTTCATATTATCTTCATATTTTAATTATCTTCATATTCTTACTTTTCATCAGGTTGTGACTTTATACCTTCAACATGAACAGAAATTGTTGGCTTACTGCCAAATAATCTATGGAGACTATCAACCATTTGCTGTTGTTGATTACGAATGTCAGACTCCTTCTTATTAAAAATCAATCCAACCAAGCCATCTTCCACTTTCCATGGTGGAAGACAATTATATCCTATAGCCTATGTAAATATTTAAATTATTTTGTCAATTTGTTTTAAAGAATTATTTTTTGTTTTATTCCTATTATTTTTTACTGACCTTAAAACGACAGAATGGATTTTCTGGGGTGAATTCAACAGGTGCTGAATTGTTACTAAAATAGCCCTTACCAGTACCCCAAAAAGCTTGTAACTGATTCCATTTTGCTAGAATCACATCTCTTTCATCTCCATAAACACTAGGAAGACTAATGGCCATAGCAATATTTGTTATAGTGTTTACAGATGGATTAGGAACTGTGGTACCTAAAATAAAGAATAATTTACAAAAGCAGTCAATACATAAAACATAAAATTATATAAAACTTTTTGTTGGCATTATTTTTATGCACATAAACTATTAAAATGTTTATAATAAATATATTAATAAAAGAAAATTTTGAATATTCAAAATATTCCATAATCAGAAATTTGTAATTTTTTCCTCTCTTATTTAAAATTTACAGTTAATATTGAAAATATTAAAATAATTGATCTAGAGTTTTCCTACTGTTCATCATTCTTTGCCATTGAAAAATGAATTATGATATTACAGAAAATCTTTTTCACTATCTTTCTGTTAAATGTAAAAAAATAACACCCACTTGGAGATCCCAAAACACACACATGTATAAAAATACATAATTCTATGATTTTTACCATTTATTATTTTCATTGTTGTTTTATTCTTAACTCTTAAGAAATAACTATTTGGCAAAAAATACCTTTCAGGGATTCAAAAAGGCATGATAGCAGATAAATAGCAGATGCAAATATGAGTAATTTTTCAGTTAGAGATATCAAAGAGAAATTTTAAAAAATGGCATAGTCTTTTTAACATTACATCTTGCAAAAATAAGTTATGGTTTTTTATCATCAATATATATCTAAATATAGACTTTGCTCATTACTATATAGCTTATAATACTTTGTTCAACAAAAACTTTTCAAGATCTTTATATGATCAGTGATTAGTGTGTTTTGTTAATCATTAAGTTGGCTAATAACCAATAAATTTTCTTAAAAAGATACATAAATGCATTATTATTATTATTATTCTTTCAAATATTCAAGTATATTTAAAATAAGAAGTCTAAGTTAAAATTATGAACTTTGTTTTTTCCTCATACAGCAATATCTATTATACAAAATCAAATAAAAACAAAAATCATTTTCATGACATTTTCATACTATTTGAATGTATTTGGTTCATTTCATTAAACTGTACAATGTACAAATATATTTTATATTATTTAAAGTGATGATGATATCATTATTTTAAATTTTATTTGAACCAAACACCAATAAAATAAAAGTTTTGTGCATGACACTTTCTAAATTGCTTGTATCCTAATTATTCAAATTGAATTTGTTCAAAATCATTTGTATACATACTGAAGTTAGTGTTTTGTCTTTAAAAAATTACACTCAGAAATATTCTACTATGCTAATATTTACTGTATACTAGCTTATTTAGTTGCCATAAATGAAACTAACAATTGACTACGATCCAAATAAAATAAAAGACTATAATACAATAAATATTTTAACAATTCTAAAAAGTCTTTCATAGCACTTGAATGTAGTTTTGAATTGAAATCAAATTACCAAAATGAAGAACAAGAACAAAAATTGAAGAATAAGTTTTTTTGCTCCATTTTTTACTGAAGAATATTTTAGAAAAATAAGAAAAAAACCTTGTTGATCAATTGATCTTAGCATTAATTATTTTTATACAATAATATAATCTACAATATATATTAATAAAAATTGTATATGATATAATAATTCTTTCTAATTTAATGTTTGTATTCAGTATAAATGTTTTATTATTCAGTATATTGTTGTTTTTTATTTATAACAATGTTTTAAATAATAGATTAACTTGAAAGTTTTGATTTCTTAATTTAAAATATTGCTTAATGAGTTTTCAAGTTAATCCATACACTCAATAAAATTATAAGTTTCTTAAACTACCTCTAGAAGATACTGATAGATAAAATTTTAACTGAAATTTTGACTAACTTTCTTTTTTTACTTTAAATCTCAAGTAATTATAAACTTCTGTCCTCAATCAAAGGGTGTTGAAAATATTTTAAAAATTCATCTAATATGTTGCATGTGATGTTTTGTACATTCAAATTACCTTCCTCTTGGTTTCAATATGATTTTGAGGAACAAAAAATCTGTGGAAGATAAATCAATAGAATAATGAGATAAAAATATGAGTGAATATGTTCATACAATACCATTCAGTAGAAACTGATTCCCATTTTATGAAAGTTAAAATACTCTTTCTTTATTAGTATTATATATAGTTCATCATTCTCCAAAGATTTATTTGATAATCAGATGCAATCAATTTGTAAAATCTTTTAAGATTGCTGGAGTTCAAATTGTTGTGGTCATTATTTAGTCATAGCTAGTCTAAAATTTTGCAAATTCCTAAAAGAATTCAAAAAACACATATTTATCACATGTATTTGGTTTTTATCAATTCATAGGATTCATTTCACATTTTTATCCAATTTGCAACAAAATATATGGTTTCCTCTTTGTTCCATTATTACAAATAATATCAACAATTTACACAGTACGAAAATCTGTAATGAGATTAAGTAGGAATTACAAAGGAATTTGTTCAAATAAACAATTGGATTAATTAGCTGTGATAGCTACATCAAATCTTTTCCTACAGCCATTTAAATGCATGTAATCAACTTGTTCTTTATATCTTGTTTTTTATCAATTCAGTTTTAACTTACAAGGTCTGTCCCAAAAGTAAGTTTACTGATTTGTTTTATTTCAAGATATACAAGTTACATCAAACTACAAATGATCTCCCTCAAAGTATGACCCTTGCAAGGTCACACAATGGTTCCAAAGTTTTTTCCACTGATCATAGCAACACTTAAATCACTTTCCTTATGGGTGTTTAGTTCATTGATTCAACTTTTTTGATGTTTTCCTTTATACTGAAATGATGGCTTTCCAACTTTGATTTTATCCTAGGGAATAGGTAGAAGTCACATAGAACTAAGTCCAGACTGTAGGGAGGTTGTGCGGGTGTGGGGATTTTTCTTGGCCAAAAACTCAAATTGATAGTGCTGTGTGAGCAGGCACATTATTGTGGTGCAGCATCCACTCTTCTGCAATGTCCCTGTGGACTTGCTTGACCCATTTTCGAAGTCATTCCAAGACACCTTTTAGAAGGCTTGATTAACTGTCTGTCCTGAAGGTAAAAATTCTTTGTGCACAATTCCACGGCTATCATAAAAAATGATAAGAATCATCTTTACTCTGGATCTTTATGCCATCTAAACACCATGTTTCTCAATAATGTGACCTCTCCATAAGTTTTGGTTAAATCTGTAAATACCTCAGTTGCAGATTTCTTGAGTTTTACACAAAACTTGATAGCATAATGTTGTTTGAGATTTTTCTCCATTTCAAATGTAACGATGTGTTAAAACACTATCTTACAGAAACAGAGATTGTGCACATTTGACTTAACTAATCAACTTGAAACAGGTCTAGATATGCTGCTAAGATATCTAGCAACACAAAAATACCAATTAATAATGTGTTAAGCTGCACAGTCATTAAATAAAAAATTAGTAAACTTACTTTTGGGATAGACCATGTATACTAAATGTTATAATTTTTGTAACAATAAATATATAAANTATATATATATATAATCTGTGTGTATCTTATTACCTGTTATTATTATATTATCTGTGTGTATTTGTTAAATACTTACCTTAAATTGTGTTGGAGCATTTAATTCGGCCTGAATTGCTTCTAATTGAACTCTAAGTTGTTCTTCATCTGCTTGTATGGCATAACCATATTTACGCATAACTTCCTGTTGACAAATCAATTTGTCAAAAATGGTATTTAATTTCATTTCTAATTGATTCAGCTTACATATCAATTTAGCTACTAAAAACTGATATATAAATTATTAAATCATTTCGGTTTATTTAAGCAATCGAAATACTTTCAAAATATCTGTATTTAGAAATAATTTTGAACATATTAAATATATAATTATTACTACTATTGTTATTAATTGAAATAAATGAAGATGATTTTATCTTTTCGAGCGATTAACGCAAAAAATAATTTATATTTACATAAATATAGATTATTTTTGCGTTAATCGCTCACTGCCGAGGCGGTTTAGGTCTCAGCCTACTGTTCTGGATGGTCCCGAGTTCGAATCCAAATGACTCAAAAAAAACTACGAACTTTTTGGTGGGTTTGTCCACAAGAGGGCGCGCCCCACCGAGCACACAATGGACTTGATTAAAAACCCCATTTAGTGCCCACACAACTGAAAGACTAAAAAATAGTTCAGAAATTAAAATAAAAATACTCTGTTTAAAATTTTGGAGTTAAAATTCTATTTATTTGTCAAATATTAAGATGTAGTAAAATAAATATAAACGATATATATTGAAATATTGACTTAAAATTCATCAAATTATTATTTTATTGTTAATTTTCAATCAATATCAGTTTCTGAAGAATAGCGTAATCATTTATACATTAGAAAATATTATTCCGATAATTATAATTATTTCATATGACTTTGTCATCAATCTGTGAGGTCATGAAGTTGATCTCCAGCACAGCATCTATATAGTGGAAGCACTGAAAATCTACAAAGCTCTCCAGTTGGGATGACTTAGTTGGCCAATAATTATCATTATGGACAGTCATTTTGTTCTTAAAGTGCTGGTTCAGATGTCTCAATCTTCACCAACTCTAATANATTTTTATTTTTAAACATATACCATCAACTTAAAAAAAATTCATATTTTGGAGAATTTGAAAAATATTACAATTATATATAAATCATAACGATTGATATAACAAAAATAAACAGTATAACTAATTGATAAATATCTTTTAGAATACAAAATAATCTAAAGGAAGAACAGTGGTGCCTCGTATAACGTACTTAATCCGTTCCAGGTGCACGTCCATTAAGTGAAAAGTCCATTATATGAAACGCATTTTTCCATAGAAATACATGTTAAAACATATAATTTGTTCCGCAGCATAAAATAACCGTACTGTACCATAAAAAATGAAAATGAACCAATCACCAATTATGCCAGGTAGTCAGATGTTGTGAAGAGGAGGTGGAGGAACACTTTCTTCACACATTCATACAGATACAGACTTTTTACACATTGCAGCAGGTCTCTTTTTATTGTTTTTTAATCAGAGTCAGATTTAGGAGAGGCTACCGGAGCTTGCAGGGTCAACTCCTCTTGCTCAATCCTTTGTTTTTTGGCAGCTGGCTTCTTGAAAAACATATCCAAGGTGGTCTGTTTCTCTCTCTCTTCTTCAACACCTGTCGGAAATGACGGGCAAGGGTGTCATTGTAAAGATCATTGATCCTGTTAGCATCAGCTCTGTTTGGATAATGAGTGTTGGTAAACTCCTGAACTTCTCCCCATCTGACAAGGAAGTTTTTTTCAACTTTCACTCCTTCTGATGATTTCTTGCTTTGTTTCAATTAAAAATCAACTTTCTGTTTTTTAGAAGCCATGATTTGCACAACACTTGAATAAATGTAAATACCCTGCACTTAGGTGATGTACGTAATAAACAAGGGAGCAAGCCAAATCCCAACGGGAGCTCTGTACTTCAGATATACTAATAATATATTCTAATCATACTAATATATTATAAAAATAGCAGATTGTCATTAGCAATGGCAAAAGAGTGGAAACATAATTTGCACTTGTTCGCAGCCAGTCCATTGCTCGAGTCACATAACGACCAAACAGAAAGTCCATTGTTCGCAGCATCCATTATTCGAGGTGTACATTATACGAGACACCACTGTACTTAGTAACATATTTATACAAATCAAACTAATATTATATATCTATTGTCTATTTAGCAATACAGCTGTTATCAATATAATGTTAATTTGATTAATCAAGATGTTCAATTACATATGAAAAACATCTGTAAATTTAAATTTATAAACCAGTAATTTAACTAAAATATTCATATCCATGACTACAGTTTTTCATTTCATAAAAACTGTAGTCATTATACTAGTTACAAGTGTAGTCACTAAACTGTAGTCATAGATATTCTTAAATTTTCTTTTATATTTTATGTAATGCTTCATACATTTAGACAGACTTATTTATTTTGAATAAATCAAAATTAAATGTTTTGTCACTTGAGTTTAAAAAAAAAGTCAAATTTATCAAACTTGAAAAAATAAGATTAAATATCTTTATTGATGAAACTTAAAATGAAATTTCTATTTGCGTCAAATAGTTTTCTTATTGATATAACAACTACATTGACTACAAGCAATATCATTTAAGATCCGCAGCAAAACTAGCATCAATAATAATTAAATTTTATTAGATACTTTCAAGCAAAATTCAAATCTATAATATAATTATTTGTAATTACAGTAAAGCGTTGTTTATCCGAAAGAATTCCAGTTGGCAAATTTAAATTTTCACTAGTGCTGTGGCACTGCAATCTTTGGCTACTACAATATTTTTTTGTTGATGTGTGTGTTTTAGCTGGCAGCACTGGCACTTTTGTGTGGTGTTTTTTTGAGGACTGTGTGTCATGCTGAATCAAACATTTTTGATACCAGATTAACGTCTAAAGTATAATTTTTTTTTTGTTTTTATATTTTTCAATACATTTATTTTGTTTGTAAAAAATAAAGAAATAATGTTTAATGACACAATAGCCAAAATTATTATTTTAAAAAGTTTACATTAGGCTTAACATCGACGAAAATTCAATGTGAAGCGACACGAAACGGAAAAAATTTCAACATGGGATAGGTTAATATATTTTTTGTACATAATCGGTTATCCAAAAAATAAGTTATCCAAACAACCCCAGTTCCCAATTAATTCGGATAAATGACGCTCTACTGTAGATCAATTTTCTTCAGAAAAATATTGTAAAAAATTAAAACAGTTAATTTGAAGAAAATTCAAAGGAGTTTTAAATAGTATGTACATAAAATGTAAACATTTTGAAAGTATTCAATATAAACCAGCAAAATCTGCCAAATAAATTTATATAAATATGAATTGAAATAAAATTAATGGACATATATGAAAGTTATGTTATACTTAAACTAAAAAGTTTATAACACAATAGTTTTATAAAAGCGATAAAAAATAATAATACATCTAATCTTTCTTGATGCTGTTTTGTTTCGTGTTCTTGATATTTTAAGCGTCTTTTAAGTTCACTAAATCCTATCATAGGCACAGGAATCAATTTCTCTGGATCAGGATTATCAAGTTTTGCTTGTTGCCACAATAAAGGATCAATTCCTAAAATTTTATATTTAATAAGTCAGTTAGATTTACTTTTAATTGAAATATAACAAACAAGTTAATTTATAAGATAAACAAAACTAACTTACCCGCAACAGTATTATCTAAATATTGCTTTAACTGTTCTTTAGTAGGTGCTGCTTTTGAAATCAACCCAACAACATCCATAGAAGTTAGAGGTGCTTTACTTACAGGCTGCTCTAAAAATGCCATAACATCTGTAGATGGAATTCGACGTGACATACAACCATGTGGTGATCGTTCCACAAGATAGATAATAACTTCAGTTCTAATAAACATATATTTTAATTAATAAAAAAAATATTATAAATATAAAAATATAAGTTGTTTTGTAAAAATGACTAAAAATAATTTTTAATGGATTATTATATCTTCATATTCTTACTTTTCATCAGGTTGTGACTTTATACCTTCAACATGAACAGAAATTGTTGGCTTACTGCCAAATAATCTATGGAGACTATCAACCATTTGCTGTTGTTGATTACGAATGTCAGACTCCTTCTTATTAAAAATCAATCCAACCAAGCCATCTTCCACTTTCCATGGTGGAAGACAATTATATCCTATAGCCTATGTAAATATTTAAATTATTTTGTCAATTTGTTTTAAAGAATTATTTTTTGTTTTATTCCTATTATTTTTTACTGACCTTAAAACGACAGAATGGATTTTCTGGGGTGAATTCAACAGGTGCTGAATTGTTACTAAAATAGCCCTTACCAGTACCCCAAAAAGCTTGTAACTGATTCCATTTTGCTAGAATCACATCTCTTTCATCTCCATAAACACTAGGAAGACTAATGGCCATAGCAATATTTGTTATAGTGTTTACAGATGGATTAGGAACTGTGGTACCTAAAATAAAGAATAATTTACAAAAGCAGTCAATACATAAAACATAAAATTATATAAAACTTTTTGTTGGCATTATTTTTATGCACATAAACTATTAAAATGTTTATAATAAATATATTAATAAAAGAAAATTTTGAATATTCAAAATATTCCATAATCAGAAATTTGTAATTTTTTCCTCTCTTATTTAAAATTTACAGTTAATATTGAAAATATTAAAATAATTGATCTAGAGTTTTCCTACTGTTCATCATTCTTTGCCATTGAAAAATGAATTATGATATTACAGAAAATCTTTTTCACTATCTTTCTGTTAAATGTAAAAAAATAACACCCACTTGGAGATCCCAAAACACACACATGTATAAAAATACATAATTCTATGATTTTTACCATTTATTATTTTCATTGTTGTTTTATTCTTAACTCTTAAGAAATAACTATTTGGCAAAAAATACCTTTCAGGGATTCAAAAAGGCATGATAGCAGATAAATAGCAGATGCAAATATGAGTAATTTTTCAGTTAGAGATATCAAAGAGAAATTTTAAAAAATGGCATAGTCTTTTTAACATTACATCTTGCAAAAATAAGTTATGGTTTTTTATCATCAATATATATCTAAATATAGACTTTGCTCATTACTATATAGCTTATAATACTTTGTTCAACAAAAACTTTTCAAGATCTTTATATGATCAGTGATTAGTGTGTTTTGTTAATCATTAAGTTGGCTAATAACCAATAAATTTTCTTAAAAAGATACATAAATGCATTATTATTATTATTATTCTTTCAAATATTCAAGTATATTTAAAATAAGAAGTCTAAGTTAAAATTATGAACTTTGTTTTTTCCTCATACAGCAATATCTATTATACAAAATCAAATAAAAACAAAAATCATTTTCATGACATTTTCATACTATTTGAATGTATTTGGTTCATTTCATTAAACTGTACAATGTACAAATATATTTTATATTATTTAAAGTGATGATGATATCATTATTTTAAATTTTATTTGAACCAAACACCAATAAAATAAAAGTTTTGTGCATGACACTTTCTAAATTGCTTGTATCCTAATTATTCAAATTGAATTTGTTCAAAATCATTTGTATACATACTGAAGTTAGTGTTTTGTCTTTAAAAAATTACACTCAGAAATATTCTACTATGCTAATATTTACTGTATACTAGCTTATTTAGTTGCCATAAATGAAACTAACAATTGACTACGATCCAAATAAAATAAAAGACTATAATACAATAAATATTTTAACAATTCTAAAAAGTCTTTCATAGCACTTGAATGTAGTTTTGAATTGAAATCAAATTACCAAAATGAAGAACAAGAACAAAAATTGAAGAATAAGTTTTTTTGCTCCATTTTTTACTGAAGAATATTTTAGGAAAATAAGAAAAAAACCTTGTTGATCAATTGATCTTAGCATTAATTATTTTTATACAATAATATAATCTACAATATATATTAATAAAAATTGTATATGATATAATAATTCTTTCTAATTTAATGTTTGTATTCAGTATAAATGTTTTATTATTCAGTATATTGTTGTTTTTTATTTATAACAATGTTTTAAATAATAGATTAACTTGAAAGTTTTGATTTCTTAATTTAAAATATTGCTTAATGAGTTTTCAAGTTAATCCATACACTCAATAAAATTATAAGTTTCTTAAACTACCTCTAGAAGATACTGATAGATAAAATTTTAACTGAAATTTTGACTAACTTTCTTTTTTTACTTTAAATCTCAAGTAATTATAAACTTCTGTCCTCAATCAAAGGGTGTTGAAAATATTTTAAAAATTCATCTAATATGTTGCATGTGATGTTTTGTACATTCAAATTACCTTCCTCTTGGTTTCAATATGATTTTGAGGAACAAAAAATCTGTGGAAGATAAATCAATAGAATAATGAGATAAAAATATGAGTGAATATGTTCATACAATACCATTCAGTAGAAACTGATTCCCATTTTATGAAAGTTAAAATACTCTTTCTTTATTAGTATTATATATAGTTCATCATTCTCCAAAGATTTATTTGATAATCAGATGCAATCAATTTGTAAAATCTTTTAAGATTGCTGGAGTTCAAATTGTTGTGGTCATTATTTAGTCATAGCTAGTCTAAAATTTTGCAAATTCCTAAAAGAATTCAAAAAACACATATTTATCACATGTATTTGGTTTTTATCAATTCATAGGATTCATTTCACATTTTTATCCAATTTGCAACAAAATATATGGTTTCCTCTTTGTTCCATTATTACAAATAATATCAACAATTTACACAGTACGAAAATCTGTAATGAGATTAAGTAGGAATTACAAAGGAATTTGTTCAAATAAACAATTGGATTAATTAGCTGTGATAGCTACATCAAATCTTTTCCTACAGCCATTTAAATGCATGTAATCAACTTGTTCTTTATATCTTGTTTTTTATCAATTCAGTTTTAACTTACAAGGTCTGTCCCAAAAGTAAGTTTACTGATTTGTTTTATTTCAAGATATACAAGTTACATCAAACTACAAATGATCTCCCTCAAAGTATGACCCTTGCAAGGTCACACAATGGTTCCAAAGTTTTTTCCACTGATCATAGCAACACTTAAATCACTTTCCTTATGGGTGTTTAGTTCATTGATTCAACTTTTTTGATGTTTTCCTTTATACTGAAATGATGGCTTTCCAACTTTGATTTTATCCTAGGGAATAGGTAGAAGTCACATAGAACTAAGTCCAGACTGTAGGGAGGTTGTGCGGGTGTGGGGATTTTTCTTGGCCAAAAACTCAAATTGATAGTGCTGTGTGAGCAGGCACATTATTGTGGTGCAGCATCCACTCTTCTGCAATGTCCCTGTGGACTTGCTTGACCCATTTTCGAAGTCATTCCAAGACACCTTTTAGAAGGCTTGATTAACTGTCTGTCCTGAAGGTAAAAATTCTTTGTGCACAATTCCACGGCTATCATAAAAAATGATAAGAATCATCTTTACTCTGGATCTTTATGCCATCTAAACACCATGTTTCTCAATAATGTGACCTCTCCATAAGTTTTGGTTAAATCTGTAAATACCTCAGTTGCAGATTTCTTGAGTTTTACACAAAACTTGATAGCATAATGTTGTTTGAGATTTTTCTCCATTTCAAATGTAACGATGTGTTAAAACACTATCTTACAGAAACAGAGATTGTGCACATTTGACTTAACTAATCAACTTGAAACAGGTCTAGATATGCTGCTAAGATATCTAGCAACACAAAAATACCAATTAATAATGTGTTAAGCTGCACAGTCATTAAATAAAAAATTAGTAAACTTACTTTTGGGATAGACCATGTATACTAAATGTTATAATTTTTGTAACAATAAATATATAAATCTATAAAATAAATATTGAAAATTTTGGAAATAATACAGGGCATTTCACTTGAAAGTATCTGATTTTAATTCATTATAAAAAATAAATAGTTTAAGATATATAAAAGCAACAAGTGGCATCTGGTAAAAAAAACTCAAGTTTTATAGAGATTTTTTTGTTTCATAAGATGGAACAGAAGTTGAATTGTGATCATTATTGTCTAGTCATGGCTTTGCCACAAAAGAAAATGCATGCTGTAGTCTGGTATACCTGATAGCATGGCCACCAAGAGCTCCTGATCTGACCTCTTGGATCTTTCTGTGGGGTTACATGAAAGATATAGTTTATGCAACTTTGATCAGAGACCTTCAGTAGTGCATCATTGCAGCCATTGCCACTGTGAGACAGACATACTGCAGTGTAAATAGTAGAAAATGACCTACTGCTTTGATGTTGTCACTGACTGCTGATGATTATTGCAATGAAATTTGATGGGTTTTTCTTTTATGTAAAATCTTAGGTGAACATATATCTTTAATTGTTAATTTTTTTTACAGCCAAATCAAATTGGGTACTTTTGAGTGGAACACCATGTACTGTAAAAATCTTCAATATATTAGATTTTAATTATTTACCTAAATTTCCAAAAGTTGATCCTCCAGGACCAGTACCAAATGCTGATAACCCAGCTGTTGTACCAAGTGAACCAGTCTGACCTAAATGAATTTATAAAATCTTAAAATAGTAATAATTTACTATTTCATTTTTTCAGTATCAGCTTTTACTAAATAATTTAAACAATTTTATTACAGCATATCAGCAGTTTCCAACCTTTTTCAGTCTACATACCACTTACATTAAAAAAAAATTTTTTTTTAACATACCTCTAAACATCTATAAACTGAAAACAGTTACAGAATGTTGTCAAACAATTTTAAATAATTACTTTATAATAGATTTTTAATTATTAATTTTCAATTTATTTTAGTGTAGACACAAAATTAGTCAATAGAAATCAAAGAAAAGAAAGATTAATTTACATTAACTGAACTCAGATTTAGAAATGAATAAAATATTGTAAAGTCCATAAAAAAGTTAGTTAACAGCTCTTATGGACTCAAGTTTAGAAAATTGTGAATCCCTAGGTACAAACTTTTAAACTGAAAGAATTTGAAAAACTTTTGTCCTTTCTCACACCTCTGGGCATGAGAAAGGACAACAGAACAACGGAAGACAAAAATAGACTATACAATAAAAAAAAAGTCTTTTATTTTTGTAAATTTACAATTACTGTCCTGGCAATTTTATCAAATGAAAGAGTTTGATTTAAAATTACATTTAAAAGCTATCAGATTTTTTTGTGTATCTCTAGAAGTGCTTCACATATCCAAATTTGGAAAATGTTCCATTATACACTGTATATATTAATACCTTATTACCTAACCTTCAGTTTACATGGACTCAATTCAAATTGCATGATTTTGATTTAACAGTCAGAAAAATTTAATAAAATTTTATTTTGCACAATACAGTTTCAGTTTAACAGAGTATTTAAAATATTCTTCACTATTTATATTCAGCACTTCATTTTAAAATTAATTATTTTCATTGACCAAATTAATTGTTTAGGCCAATGCTAGCTATGGACAATGATATCACTGCCTTGCTACTTTCAACTTACATATTCAAAAAGAAGGAATTCTCCATTTTATACCACAACTTCACACCATATGCATTAAACTTAACTCAATGTCAAAAATTTGATTAAAAATTAACTAGAAATAAACAAGATTTAATAACAAATTTTATTAAGATAGGATTATCAATGTCTTTGATAAACTAATTTAAAAAAAAAAACTGGAAATGAAGTCAGTAACTTAAGAGATGCAAGGTTTCAACTAAAAAAAAATAATAAGTTGTTTCTTCATCAACAAGCAAAAAAGTTGCAGAATAAAATTTCATTTTTGTTAATTTTATAACAGTTAAAAAAAAATTTAAACCTTGGAACCTAATCCCCCATTCTCATACTGAATAGTTTTGATTTACAGTTTCAATTTTGCATAGAATCAATCTACCATATAAACTGAGGGTTAGGTTATATCATATAATAAGATCTTAAAATAAACATACAGTCGATCCCCCTATAAGATCATTGATTTTTCCGTTTTATCTGAATTACATGTTGTACGAGTCACTTATATTTTACAAATATGTGAGCCGTTCACAGCCCGGCACACGTATTTGTAAAATCTAAGTGACTCGTACAACATGTAATTCAGATAAAACGGAAAAATCAATGATCTTATAGGGGGATCGACTGTACTTTCACATTATATTTTTACAATAAAAATATATCTTTATATAATATTTACTTTGTTTCTTCTTATAAATAACAAACAAGTTATGAAGGTTGTGCAGAATTAAATATTAGATGCTATACAATTATATATATTATTATATTTACCAAAGTTAAATCCTGAGCCTAAAGATGGGGTTGTAGTAGAACTGCCAAGACCACCAAAGGAAAATCCACTTGAAGGAGCAACAGAAGTTGATCCCAATCCTCCAAAACTAAATCCTGTAGTGGTTACTGCCGTTCCCAAACCACTGAATGAAAAACTACTGGTACCAGTTCCAAAAGAAAAATTACCCGAAGTTGTTGCTCCAAATGAAAATCCAGGAGCTGGAGTAGTACTCGATCCCAGTGTTCCAAAAGAAAATCCTGAATAAATTCAGATATAATATAATTAATTAATATCTGAATTTATTCAAATATTAATTAATTATATTTATTAATATCTGATATAATTATATTTATTAACATCAGATATAATTATATTAATAATTATATCTGAATTTATTCAGGATTTTCTTTATTATTCTTTTTGTTATTTGTTTAATATATTTATAACAATATAATTATTATAAGTATATTAAACAAATAACAAAAATGAAAATATATGGTATATTAATATCAAGTGCCTTCAGGATTCATTTGAATCTTGAGAACATCCCATATTAATAATGTATAGATAGATCTAATTTTAATATTTTTTTGACTATCTTTTCTATTTCTATTAAAATTATTATAATTGTATTATTACTTTCAATATTAACAAAATTAAATTAAAATTTAGAATATTCTTTTGAATGTCAATTTTTTAAAAAATTATTTTTTCAAAAAATTGATGAAACATCATAGGTTAGAAATTTTTTGTAGAAATTCTAATTATTCAAAATATGATACTTTAATCATATGTAAATACATTAATGCTTTATCAAAAAAACACTGAAAAGGAAAGTTTCAAGCTGCCAACATTTAAGAAATCATCATAGTATTCTCCAAAAGTTAAAGATCAGAAATTTAAATATTTGCTTTATTTAAATACCTGGTGTACTCCCAAATGATGGTGCTGAAGTATTTGTTGTTCCAAAACTTGGAAATGTTGAACCAGTTGTTTTTATGTTACCAAATGTGGGAAATCCTGAAGTTCCTAAATAATATTTTAATAATTATAACAATTGTTTTAAATTAAAATAAAAACAAATAAAAAATAAACTTACATATAATATAAACTGTACCAAATATTCATACCAGAAAACAATGAATTAATTTTCTTGCATAAATATTATTTTGCAAATGATAATTCACATTAAGAAAATTTTAGTAGAAATTATCAAAAATATTCCTTTTATACACTAATCAATATTCTCATTTATAATTTAATACAAATTAATATAATGGAGTAAAACATTCCATTATATTAATTTGTATTAAATTAATATAATGGAGTAAAACAATTCTCATTTATAATTTAATACAAATTAATATAATGGAGTAAAACATTCCATTACAAGTTACATTCTTGAAAATTGAAATGTAGATTAAAATTATTAACTTCCACATATAGGAAGTATAGTACTGTACGAGTACATACAAGCATGTTAGAGTGATATATTAAGATACATATTAACTTACATTCAGAAATATCCATAGTGTAAAAAGGAAAAAAAAACCCCTATGTCAGTTCAAAGTGGGCCTGCTAAGCTGTAGATCAGGGGGGGTGTCCAACCTTTTTGTTTCTCTGGGCCACATTGGAAGGAGTCATGGAGTTCTAGGCCACAAGTATATTGTGACCCAATTTTTAAATATACAAGTAGTCTATATTTAAGGATTTACATGTCTAGATTATAGTAATAAGTATTAAAACTTTATCACAAAAAAGGATATTTTAAAAAATTACTTCTACAGACGCATTAATTTCTACTTAGAAATAGATAATTTTATTTATTATAAAGGAGTCAAATAAAAATTTATTTGGTCTTTAATTAATAAAACTTAATATTTAATAAAAATTAATTAATAATAATTAATAAAATAAAGTGCATTTTTATTCAACTAATATATTTATAAATAATATGTAGCCCAAAATATAGCCAATGCGCCAAATGATATTTTTTTACACCAAACTAAAAAAAGGGTACCTAAATTTGGCGCAAAGTAGACAAATCTTGCAACGCTGAAAGGAATATTAAATAAAGCTAGAGTTGGGATTCAAAGGATTATAGACCCAAATTCGAGGAAAGGAGAGAAAGGTCAAAAAATAAAGAAGTGAGAAAAGTTAAACAGACCTTCTGTTATGCAAATATTGATTCTTAATTTTCCAACCTTTCTCACTTCTTTTTATTTTTTGGCCTTTCTCTCCTTTCTCCAAATTTTGGGCTATAATCCTTTGAGTCACAACTCCAGCTTTATTTAGTATTCCTTCCTCATTCATACATTTCAAATATTTGAAAATATTTCCTTTCTATTAAAAAATAAAACATGTATAAAGGTTTACGGCTTTGTGAAACTTCTTTTTTGAGGTTTATACCGTTGAAATAAATAAATAAATAATTTAAATTTGTCGGTTTTGTTTACATGTTTATTGGGCCACATTGGAACTTGCATTGGGCCGCATGCAGCCTGTGGGCTGCGGGTTGGACACCCCCGCTGTAAATAGTATATCAATCTATTTAAAATTAATTCCTACTTCATTCCTAAGTGCCCTGTATATTTCAATAGCCTCCAAATATTTAAGGCATGATGTATCAGAAACCCTGTATAACAGTCATGCATCTTGTAAATTGACTTGAATATCTTTACTTACTGCATCGGCTGCTAGGGCTGTGGAGAAAAGTTTCTTCCTGATAGTGTATTCATGTTCTTTCATTCTTGTTGCAAGACCCTTCACTTTTGCACTTATAAATAGTAACATCTATACCTTTCTTTAGATGCTTGTCTATATGGTGATGGATAAGCAATGATACCATTGCTCATCCATTGTCAAATTTGGCAATTAGTGATAGGCAAAGTAGTTATTTGTAGATAACAGTAACAAGTTATTATTTAAAATAATTGGAAAAAATAACAGCTTCAACAGTGGTATGATGAATTCAAAATCATAGATGGTTTCATGCAATCATTGGTGATTGATCAATGGTTGCCTGGAAATAAGACAGCCTTTTTTTAAATCATGACCATTATGGGTTCAGTCAGGCCCACATTAGAGGCAGCTGGGTGGTGAGGGATGAGCCCAAACACATCTAGGATAGATTCTCCATTAAAAATACTGTTTCCAACCAGGAATGAACTTTGGTTTCCAAGCTGGCCATGTGTAAGCCTAACAGATTCTCTATAATTCATTGTTCTGGTTGTTCTCTAGTTGTTAATTATACAATAATGAACAAAACATGACATACTTTGTACTATTATTTTTAAATAACATCTCTTATTATTTTTTTGCAAAATAACAGGTTATTAAATAACAACACATCACTACTAGCAATATTTCAAGCTAATGGTAAATTTGGCAATGATTTTTTTCAATCTGGAAAATTTTCTTTACTATTACAAATTTATTCAAGGTGTGTTCAAATTTTTTCCTAAAAACAGGGCTTGAATTAAGTCTTGGCAAACGAAACAATTACAACTGCCCAGGACCTGGATCTGAAAGGTTCTCATATATTGAATTATAAACTTTTATTTCTTTATGTGTACTAAGAAGGATTCCCCCCCCACTTGCTTCACTTGCACACTCTCATCACTCACTTGTTCAAAAATTCATTGATTCCCAGTTCTGTTGTTTCTATTTTTTTTCTTTTCTTTTTTGAGATAGCTAAATGTGTTGTGATGATTTTAAGCTAAGTAAAATCCATCTTAACAAACAAGCATTTATATACATATATAAATGCTTTGTTTGTTCATAAGTGATATATATATATATCTCACTAACCTTATGAAGCTTTGCAAAAAGTTTTAATGTACCATGAACATTTTCAGTCCATTTTAGGACTTTCAGGTGGAATTTTATTAAAGGAAACTTTTTTCAGTGTGTTTCTGTTCATGGTAAGTTAAAACTTTTGCAAAGCTTCTTAAGGTTAGTGAGATATATATAATTAAGCTAAGTATAGTGGGTGATTGGTTAATGAACAGATCGGATAACGAACACTCCACTGAACAAACGTAAAAAGAAGCGATGGAAAATAACGAATACCAATTAAATTTCCCTTGTCTTCAGATAACAATTCGAAACCTTTCAGAGCAAGGGAGATGTCAACATCAACACAATACCAATTGGATAGTGTTTCCCTGAACTTTGAAACTCTCCACTGTAATTCCAGCTTTTTGTTTACTTTTCTGACAAATAATGTTTTTATAGTCTTCGCCAGACTGTCAGGCACTCCGTAAGTTTTGTGTCGGTTTTTATTTTCTAAAGGTGAGAGTTCAACTGTCCTATCGGGTATTCATTAACATTTTAACACCAAAATTTCGAATTACCTTTGGGCCTCATATTTACATAATTGTTTCATGCACTAGCTGATTTCTGTTCTCTGAATTTTAGGGAGAGTGCTTTTCTGAACTTTTTATTTCAAACAGAAATTAATAATATTATGGAGCATAAAAAGAGTGGAGTGTTAAGAACCATGCTCACCACAGAAACCAAGCAAGAGATAATGGCCAAAGTATAGAGTGGGCAGATGTCTGATATTGCTAAGGCAGTATGGCTTGAACAGATCTACAGTAGGCACAATCTTAGCTAAGAAAGATATAATCAAGAAGACTCAAAGAGCTAAAGGAGTAACAAAAAATCACATCTGAGAAACAAAGATGTTCCAGCCATGAAAAATGGAGATTGCTTTTAATTTGGGTAAAAGAAAGGAAAATGAAAAAAGATGTAACTATTATGACTATCATTCAAGAGAAAGCTAGAGAAATTTTTGAAGAACTGAAGAAAAACTCCACATTCATCACATTCAGGAGATAGAATTCAAAGCTACTATTGGATGGTTTTCAAAGTTTAGAAGGAGAACTGGCATTAAACATGTGGTAATTCACAATGAGTCTGCTAGTGCAGATAAAGAAGAAGCTGAGAAGTTCTGTCTCAAATTTAAAGAATTCATTAAAAAAGAAGGATTTTGTCCACAACAAATTTTCAATTGTGATGAAACTGGTTTATTTTGGAAGTGCATGACAAACCATACCTACATTACAAAAGAAGAGAAAAATATTCCTGGGCATAAACCCATGAAAACCAATTGATGTTACTTTTCGGAGCTAATGTTAGCGGTGATGTGAAGCTTATCCTGCTTCTTGTCTATCACTCTGAGAACCCTAGAGCATTAAAAAAAAATTCCATAATTAAAGAAAAACTGCCAGTGATATGGAGATCAAATAAAAAGGCATGGGTCCAATGTTCCCTCTAATTTTTTTTTGTCAATGAGCAGAACATATACTTCTCTGAGCAAAAAAAATTTTGCTGAGCAGATTCTGAGCAAAAAAATTTTTCTGAGCATATATATATAAAATCTTATTTTTTTCTAAAAAAATTAAAATAATTAATTATAAAGTAGAGATTAAAATTCATTTTAAAACATACTTTTATACGAAATATTATCTTTTGTCAATGATTTAATGTATTTAATCGAAATATACGCAGCAATAATCATGTTGCAGACAGAGTGAGAAATAAGTAAACAACAATTCAAATAGGTGTGCATGCTCGCCTGCGCGGCACATAAATTCTCGTGTGCGGCAACAATTTGAACAGTGCGCGACCGCGCAGCTTAGAGGGAACATTGCATGGGTCACGCAGGCTCTTTTCAAAGAATAGCTGTTTGAAGTTTGGGCTCTAAGTATCAAGGATTACCTCCAGACCAATGAATTGCCATTAAAAGCACTGTTGCTATTGGACAATGCACCAGGACACCCAAAAGACTTTTAAAATAATTTGCTGGAAGATTTTCCCTGGCTGACAGTTCAATTTCTACCTCCGAATACCACTTCGTTGATTCAACCAATGGATCAAGAGATTATTGCAGGTTTTAAGACATTGTACATTCAAGCACTGTTTTGTTGGTGTTTTGAAGCATGCCAGTTCTCCTCAATGATGATATTAATTAAAAACGTTTTGGAAAGAAAAATTTGATATTCTTGAAGCTATATGACTTATTCAAAAGACATGATCAGAAGTCACTCAATGACAATTGAATTCTGCTTGGCGAAAGCTGTATCCCTCCTGCATTCAGGGAGAGAGAGATGATGTCCTTGAAATTATGGATGAAATTGTGACAATTGCTAGAGATTGGGAATTGAAAGTGAATAAAGATGACATTGAAGAGCTTATAATGGAATCTGAAACTGATCTGACAACACAAGAACTCCAAGAATACTTAAATGAAGAACACCAAGAAACTCAGCAAGATGTGTTTTCTTCTGAAAAAGAGGTAGATGAAAAAGGATCAATGCCAACATCTGCTATTAAAGATCTTTTAAAGAAGTGGGAAGATATCAGAATGGTCTTAGAATGGCATCCAAACCAAGTTGAGGTTAATAGGCTTAGGGATCTCTACAACGACAATGCTAATTACTTCTGAAAAATCCTGAAGAAGAGAGAAAAGCAATTGACATTGGACAGATTCTTGAACCCCTACAAACAGAAAAAACATGACTAATAAAAATGCAAGACTGTGTATATATGTATTTTTATTATTACATATAAATAAACATAGAAAGTATATATTTTTTTTATTTTTTGGAGTCTTCAGAATGAATTAATCAAATTCCCATAAAAACCTATGGTAAATCGATAGTCAGTTAATGAACAATTTGAATAATGAACAAAGTCTTGCAAAGAATTATGTTTGTTAACTGATCACCCACTGTATTTTATATATATAAAATACATCTAAATGGTTAATGAACAAAGTGAATATGCTCTATACTAGAGCTTTCATTTATTACCAGGACCTGCAGAGTATGGACAGAAATAAGTATTGAATCAGCTGAAAAATTATCAATATTGGATTGTGTCAGAATAATTCAGTATCATATTATCTATATATATAAAAATGAATGTATGTGTGTGTGTCTGTCTGTCCTTCATGCATTACCACACCGTTTATCCGATTGCCATGAAACTTTGGGAAGTTGTTTAATATACTCCGGCGAAGGTTTGTGGCATAGTACGATTGCCATGAAACTTTGGAAAGTTTTTTAATACATTCCTGCGAAGTACATTTATCCTACGATAGATGGCGCGCGTTTACATGAGCATTCGCGCACAGNAATAATTAAAATTATAAAGTATTAAAATATATATATATATATAAATGGGGAATATCGCACTTCTGACAATCGCTGTGAGTGTGTGGGCTAAATTTGGAGAATCTGTGCTTCTCGCATGGAAAACTGTATGTGGCCAACTCACATGTCGGAAAACCATCCGATTTATTTGTGTACGCACCAGACGGAAAAACAAAAAATATCATGTATCCACAAACACTCCAATAAATAAATAGAATTGAAACGACACTTTGAAATATTTTTCCGATGAAAATTAATAATAATTTAATAATAATAAGTTTCAATAAAAATAATAAAATGTAAATTGAATTTTATCATAACGAGTGCTTGAATTTTGTTTCTTCTGAGATCGCAGCAATGCGCGACGGGTAAGCTAGTCTCTAATATTTATGTAAAATGATATAGTTTATTTGAATCTTTACTTTGATCATTTCAATATTTTTTTCTGAAATTATACTATCATCTGGTTCAGTGTTTTCATTTTTAGTTTTCTAATTTATTTCTAAAATACAAATTTAAATATTTGGCTTTCCATGTTATCTAATTGAAGTAAATTTGTTATTTTTATGCTAAGTATTTTGAAAAATTCCTTTGATTGAAAATCCATCCAGTTTAAAACTGCATACAAACATCAATTCATGATGTTCATGTCTCAACATCTTACTCCAATATAGAGACTTCTTTCTGCAAACATGCCATGACTGATCACCGATGTCATATTTCATAGAAGATGGAGGGATATTGTTTCAAAAAAGAAACCTCAGTCAGAAAAACAACAAATAATAAAAGTTCCATAATAAAGTTTTTCAATAAATAAGTTAACTCCTAAGAAAAAAAATCTGCAGATAAATTTAATTTCTCCAAAATAAATCTCTTGCTTTTTAATTTTCTTAAATACAGTAACTCTGATTTCATTTTAAAAACATTGAAATAATGATTACCATGTACAGCTGAAAATGAGTAAATAAAATTTAAGTTTTATTTCATTACTGACTTTTTCTTACCATAAGCTTGTATTACCTAGAATTTTTGTGTTTTCTGTCCCACTGTCACTTCATTTAAGATAAATAACACTCTACTATATTATATTTTATGTCTAATATATTCTATGTTGTAACTTATTTCTTCAACTCTAAGACCCCTTATTTTTTACTATTTTTGCTTGTCTAAAATACAGATGCATGTTAGAATCAAAAAAATATAGTAATTACTGATAAAAAAAATTTAGTGCTAAAATAAAAAATTTTAATGAAAATCATGTTTTTATTGGAAGAGAGGAAATAGATAATTAAAAAACCTAGCTAGAATCTTCCCTTTATTCAAATAAAATATGGAAATTTGTAGATTTTACAACAAAAGAAATTAATGAGTAAAAATATGATGATTTATAATTGAAAAAAAATTAATTAAATTAGCATAATTTTCCTAATTAAATCAAAGCTCATTCTAATTTTGAATCTTACATAAATAATCTAAAAATTAGTTAAGCATATATTTAATCTGTTATATATATAACTTCAGTACTAGTTTTATATAAACACTAAATGTGAATTATATAATCATTCTATTTTATTACTATTTAATAGTAATAAATTTTGAATGGTATTATTTATAGTGTATTAATAGATTATACTTAAAATTTAAACTAATCATATATTTAGTATATGTTACAACTTTTATCATTTTGAATATCTTTATTCCACAAAATTCATTTATTTAAAAGTTAAACACATTTTCATTAATCTTTCTCCAAAAACATTTTATTTTCATAGCAGTTTAAACAATTTCATATATATTATGAACAATAAACTNAATTAAAGAAAAAATAATTACTTACTTTTTAATCTGAAATATAAATTATTATTTGCAAATAAAACTTTATCTCTAATATTTTGATGGGATTTATGTTTCATTTATTTCATCATTTAACTTCCTTCTCTGTTTTCCTCATTTCTTGGAATAGAATTAACTACGAAATGTAGTAAATTTAATATAATAATTAGTCATATAATAAAATTTATTATATGACTAAGTTACATCTAGAGATTAAATAAAATAAATAAGTAGTAAACTAAATACTGTAAATACGAATGATTTTTAATATAAATGTCATATTTAAAAATTTTTAAATATGACATTTATATTAAAAATCATTCGTATTTACAGTATTTAGTTTACTACTTATTTATTTTATTTAATCTCTAGATGTAACTTAGTCATATAATAAATTTTATTATATGACTAATTATTATATTAAATTTACTACATTTCGTAGTTAATTCTATTCCAAGAAATGAGGAAAACAGAGAAGGAAGTTAAATGATGAAATAAATGAAACATAAATCCCATCAAAATATTAGAGATAAAGTTTTATTTGCAAATAATAATTTATATTTCAGATTAAAAAGTAAGTAATTATTTTTTCTTTAATTTATCTTTCTTCAATAACTTTAAATTAAACTATAAACTTAAGTTATAAATAATAAACTTTATATAATTTAGATAATCTAATATAAATTAGTTATTTAAATACTTATTATTAAATGATTAGGAAGTTTATTCTGACAAAATAAATAGCAAAATAAGTTATAAAGGATAATTATTCTTACTGAATTAAATATGAAAGAAATGTATGTATTGACAAATTCAAGTTACTCACCAAGGAGACAGTAGAATCAAATTACTTTCATCAGTGTGAACAGTTTGATAATGGTAAGTGATTACAATATCATAGAAAACATTTAATTTCTGTGGAACATCAATACAATTTAAACTAACTTTTAGTACTTGGTAAGGACATCCTCTTGCATATATACATGCAGTGATATAATTTGACAGAGGCAAGCAGACACCGTAGGTTATTCCTTTGACAGATTTGCAATAGCTGCTCAATATTTCCTCACACACAGATAGTCAAAGCTGGCATCTCATCTGGTCCCACAAATACTTGACAGGTAGCAAATCTGTAGATTAGACAAGTCAAGAAAGTATGGCAACCTGGAGACATTTTTTTAAAAAACCCTACCTGCATGTGGCTGAGCATTATCTTGCTGAAAAATGGTTATTATACCCTCATGAAAAATATTATATACGATGCAAAATTTCATAAACATACTGCTATGCCATCAATATCCCTCATACTGTACTACTACAACCATCAAATCAGATGGCTCCCCATAGAGTAATCTAACAGTAGGGACAGTGTGCTGCTCAACAATAAAGGAGGGATTGAAGCATTCACAAGTGATCATGCATTCCCAAACAGAATTGGTATTTGCTAAAGACAACAGACTGTCACTCCATAACATTTCATGCAAGTTCATGCTTTTCAATCATAGCACTATAAACAAAACCAACAATGTAGGGATGCTTATAGCAAGACATGCCATAGTCACCATCATACAAATTTCTTTTACTAGTCACCTGCCAATAATATAGGAAGAGACAAGATTCTGTCTCTAAATTGTAGACAAAACCAGTTATAGCTGTTCATGCTTGTTTCATAATCAATTGTTCCCAGTGGTCTGTCTGAAATGTCCAGTCTGCCTGTTGTGTATATGTGCCCTCATGTATCCACTATCCCCAACTTCTCTTCACAGTCAGATCAAGATGAGCCAGAGATAGCCATTTTCCAAACTGCCCAGATGGTGAGCAATTTGGAAAATGGCCATTTCTACCCTCAGCCCAAAGATGTCTTTGAAAACTTTTGTCAGTTGCACAACTGACAAAAGTTTTCAAAGGTATCTTTGGGCTATAATAATGTCTTTGACTACATTGTATAGGCTTGACTGGCATTTGAAGACTTCTCAACAACAGACATACTGAAAATTCTGAACACACAGTAAGCCTTGCAAGCCTTTCTATAGAATAGTGGTATAATGATTTTAAGAAAAATTGATGACATACCTAACATGCAACCAAACCATAACTATAATCATTTACATATCTATCTAAGAAAACTGTATGCAGAATTTCGAAATAATTGAACAATTCTATCTGAGTGTGTAACCTTTTATTGTTAATGACTATATTTAAAATGTGTGCTTCATTAATCATTATTCTGTGTTACTTTTGAAATTTTCTGTTTAAAGTTTGGTCTGTAAGAAAATGCTCAATAAAATAAAATTTTAAGCTTAAATCATTATTTTACTTAATTAATTAAAGAATATACAAATTGAAATAAAAGTTGATTATGAAAGTTAACATATATACTTTCATTACGTATAAAACTAATTTATTTCTTATATCAAAATAAACATATTAATTTTTGATTTAAATTCTTTTTCCAGATAAAATTCAAAGCAACAATTAACAAATGAATTTATTATGGATGATACTGACTCTGGTTAATTTGTATGTAACTTTCATTAATTGCAACTGTCCAGTTAACTGTGTTTGTCCATTTAATGATCTGATCAAATCAGTAACTTGTACTCATTCAATTCCAAAGAAATTACCATTCAATACAACTGAGCTTCTTGTAACACGAGGAAGAAAATTAATACTTCAAAGTGAAGATACCAGAAAATTAGGCCAATTAGAAAAATTTCAACTAATACATTTATTTATAGAAAATATTACTGATGGAACTTTTCAAGTAAATAATTTTTTACATCTGTCAACACTACGTCTAAGTTACAATAATATACGGCAAATAACTTCAAAAACATTTGAAGGATTGGAAAATTTAAAAGAACTTTATTTAGACAATAATAATATGAGATTTATTACAATAGATGCATTTATTACTTTAAGAAGTTTAAAAATCCTTCATTTACAAAGAAATTATTTAGAAGAAATTCCTAAACCACTTCCGAATAAGCTAGAAACATTAGAATTAAATGATAACAATATTGAATCAATTACATTGTTAAATGAAAATTTATCATTTCTTAAAGAACTAAATTTGTGTGGAAATAAATATAAAAGCATTTTAAATAAAGATATTGATAAATTGTACAATCTCCAAACAGTTTGCCTAGGTGATGAAGTTAGCAATGTATATCCTCAAGTTTTTGCTTTGATGCCTCAACTGAAAGCATTAAAAATAACTGGCAAGAAAAATCCAACACCTCAAACATTCCAAGGATTTCCATTTTTGACACAGTTAGAAACATTATCCATTAACTATTTACCAATAACAATATTTGATGTGAATTTTGGAGCATGGAAAAATTTGAAATATTTTTATTTTAATAATATCAAGACTTTAGTTTATATCAATAAAAATGTGTTTGAATCTTTTGCTAAAAATATTGAACTTGCTGATTTATCTGGAAGTACAATGTTTGTTAATAGTTTATTCTCTAAAGATCTTCTAAAGTATTTAATAAATGTCAAAACATTAAACTTAGCAAACACAGGTATTACAACCATACCTGATCTTAAAATGAAATGGTTACCAAATCTTCAACAGCTAGATATTAGCAATAATCCATTAATGTGTGATTGTAATGTTCAATGGCTAGCAGATGCAAAGAAACAATATAATTTGGAAATTGATTATTATAGTGAAACAAAGTGTGCCAAACCAAATAGCCTTTCTGGCAAAATATTTTTTGATAAGGAGGTGCAACAGACAATATGTGTGGTAGATGATAAAAAAAATGAAACTAATGAAGAAACATATATATCGGATAAACTAAAAACAGAAAAATCACATCAAGAAACAAAAATAAATGTTTTAGTTTCTTTTGTTATACTTTTAGCTATTTTAGTAATTGTACTAATAGTTATAGTAATTATATTATTAATTAAATATAAGCATCCAAATAATCATTTCCTCTCTGAGAGAAAATAAAATTGTAAATTAATTTTATAAATTTAGTAAAAGGCTGCTTATTATGACTTAACTAATTTATCATTACTTTTTTCATTATAATATAACCAAATATTTAAAATATTGAGAATGTTGATAAAGTTACAAATTTTATTTTGAAATATAGCTTAATGAGCAGAAAAGGCATTCAAAATGTATGATAAAAACAATTTTTCCTATGAATATTTATGCTAGCATTTAAAAAATTTATGTATAACAGTATATATATAATTTTTAAATACGAATACTCAAATTTACATTATTATTATTCCATTCATATATATAATATACAATTAATTATTATTTAATTATATTAAAAATTACACAAGTCATGTTTTATTGGATTACATGTTTAAAAACATTTAAATTCAAACACTTTTGAATTCTTCATTCATCTTCAAAGATATAAACACTTCAAAAATTAAAATAATACTATAGGATTCTAAAGTTTAAAGAATTTTTTAAAATTTATCTTGCAACTAAATAAAATATATTTGAAGTTTTCACTTTAAAAAGTTTCTTATCAATAATATTGTAAAGTCAAAAAACTTTTCTAAAATCTTTAAACTGCCAAACTCAAAAAACATTAATTGTTTTGTCATTTAACTGCAATATTAGATGGTGAATGCATTCAAATTTTCATTATTCTGTTGAATAATAAGACTTTAAAAACAGTATTTAAATTTTTGGAATTTTGAAATTTATTCCATTATTTTAATGTTTGAAGTATTTATATTTCTGAAAATAAATGAACTTAAAAGAATTTAAATCTGAATGTTTTAGAATGTAATAATTCAATAAAACATTTCTGTGATATCTGAATTTCAATTTGGAGAAATGTAGAGCTAAAAGTTTCCAGATTAACATAATTTTATTCTATTTCTTTTTAAAAAATACTGTCATTGAACTTACTTTTACTTATAATTTTGCACTTTTGTTTGCAAGTATCCATTTCATTTTATGAACATAAATTGATTTTAATTTTTTAGTCATAAAATTTGAAAGATGCAACAACAAAGATTTAACATTTACAAAACAAACAGTTGTGGACTTTACTAATACTGAAGACATTACTTCCACACAGTTCTTAACAAGTAGGCTACAAAAAGTGCATATATATATATATATATTAGGCATACAGTTTGTATGATGCATAGGATACATACAACTGTATTTATACAATGAATTCATATTTTTTATGTATAATCTTCACTGATATTGTTATCACATTACTGTAATTTACTNAGTCATGTTTTATTGGATTACATGTTTAAAAACATTTAAATTCAAACACTTTTGAATTCTTCATTCATCTTCAAAGATATAAACACTTCAAAAATTAAAATAATACTATAGGATTCTAAAGTTTAAAGAATTTTTTAAAATTTATCTTGCAACTAAATAAAATATATTTGAAGTTTTCACTTTAAAAAGTTTCTTATCAATAATATTGTAAAGTCAAAAAACTTTTCTAAAATCTTTAAACTGCCAAACTCAAAAAACATTAATTGTTTTGTCATTTAACTGCAATATTAGATGGTGAATGCATTCAAATTTTCATTATTCTGTTGAATAATAAGACTTTAAAAACAGTATTTAAATTTTTGGAATTTTGAAATTTATTCCATTATTTTAATGTTTGAAGTATTTATATTTCTGAAAATAAATGAACTTAAAAGAATTTAAATCTGAATGTTTTAGAATGTAATAATTCAATAAAACATTTCTGTGATATCTGAATTTCAATTTGGAGAAATGTAGAGCTAAAAGTTTCCAGATTAACATAATTTTATTCTATTTCTTTTTAAAAAATACTGTCATTGAACTTACTTTTACTTATAATTTTGCACTTTTGTTTGCAAGTATCCATTTCATTTTATGAACATAAATTGATTTTAATTTTTTAGTCATAAAATTTGAAAGATGCAACAACAAAGATTTAACATTTACAAAACAAACAGTTGTGGACTTTACTAATACTGAAGACATTACTTCCACACAGTTCTTAACAAGTAGGCTACAAAAAGTGCATATATATATATATATATTAGGCATACAGTTTGTATGATGCATAGGATACATACAACTGTATTTATACAATGAATTCATATTTTTTATGTATAATCTTCACTGATATTGTTATCACATTACTGTAATTTACTCAGTATTAAATAAATGATTTATAATACATGTATATTATTTTTCTTTCACTTGAGATTTATATTCACAAATATTTATATTCTGATTGACATTAATGCTAGTCAATATTGTATAAAATAAAAGAAAAAGTTAAATAAAACACTGTCATAAACTTGGTGAAGGAATGAAGAATCTTCTGTATTATTCCGATAATAACTTTTTGCTAAATTGTTAAAGCCTGGCTTATCATCTAGACTTTAAATTTGTATTTTAAATTATATCACAAATAATACTAAATAGTTATTATTTAATTTCATATAATATTTTTAATAAAATATTGTAAATGCACTTGTATACATCAGCAGCACTAAACAACACAAATCTGTTTTATATGCAGAGAATGAAAAAGTGCATATTATCTTAAAATTATGAAAACCATAATTATGCAGCATATATAATTACTAAAAATAAAACTTTAAATAAAATTAAATTGCTAGCTATTTAAAAATGAATACATGCTTTTGGAGAATAGCTATTAAGCAAATCACAGCATGTTAAAAAAATGTGTTTAAAATATTAATTTTTTCTTATCTTATAAAGTCAACATCAATGATGCACAAGAAACAAGTTATCAACACACTTCAAATTTTCTCTCTTTTTTTTTTGGTTTTTTTTTATTATTTTCCAGAAAATATCAAATTATAAAAACTATTACACATTATACTGTACCAATGAAAACTTTTACAAAGCAATTGAAAAACTTAAAACTTTTAAATATTAGCACATGCAGTATCACAGTAAGATATATCATGTAATACATTTAGACGATGGTTTACAAAATCACCAAATCAGAGGATTAAGTAGAAATATAATTTTTTCAAAAGGTTGAAGAAAAATGCAACATTTTTGATAATGCATTAGATTTAGATACGATTACTTGAATAAAGGTCACAAAGAACACTATAACTTTCCTTAAATGGTGTTTAAAATCATTTCATGTTTATATCAGTGTGTTTTTTGAATACTCATGCAAAATAAAGAGCAATAAAAATGAGTTGTTAAATGCATGTACAGTGGTACAGTACCTCATACTTCAAACAACTAAATTTGAATGCTTCAGAGTTCAAACACCAAATTTGACAAAAATTCACTTTAGAGTTTGAACAATACATGTAACCCCCTATAACATGGGAGTTATTTTCCAAAAAATTGCCGTGTTATACAAAATAAAGAACTAGTGCGAAAAGGGGGGTTATGTTCCAAAAATTAAAAAACATGCTGTTAAATCCTTATTTAAATCAGATTTATTATTCATTTTTTTCATAGGTAAAATACTTATTTATTATTTAAGTAAATATTTTACCAGAGGATTATTCATCTTATATGATGATCCAGCATGAGCATCATCAACTGGTAACAGTTTTTGGGTGCATTCGTTAATAGTGGTCGCTCTGCAATGGGAGTGTGCTGCTGTTTGTAGGCATTTAGGAACAACGGTGAAAGAAAGATGGCGGCGCCCGCACTATCAATAGTATAGTGATGGAGGAATCTATAATTCTAAAATGAGCTTTCAGAGGCAAAGAAGGGTCCCAATTGTAAAATTTAACCATTAAACGGATTACTTGTTGAAAGAGCATTGAAAGTAGCCACGAAAGCAATTAGAATGCTCATGTGGAGTAACGTGGAGGTATAAAAGAACCCACCTTTTATTACATTTCATGTTATACAGGAATGTTCCCAATTCTCAAACCGTGTTAGAATGAATCCGTGCTATAGAAGTGCCGTGTTATACGGGGGTTACCTGTACTTCAAAGTTCAAACTGCATAGTGAAAAATGCACTCAAAGTGTAAAATAAGATTCTGAACAAAAGCTAAAATCTCAAATTAGCAATATTATGATAAATTTCACAACTGTTATAATTAAATCACACATCTATGTTAAGTAGGGACAATTGTTATCAATATGAAAAAACTTTGTCTACCTCAACATCACCTTTACTTATTAATTAATGATAGCATCTGAGAAGTGTGTGGAAGCAACAAAATCTAACAAGTAAGAGGATGGCTGTAATATAGTAATATTCAGATAAAAAAAAAAAAAGGAACTTATTGTGAAGCATGAAAGCAGTACACATAGGGTGGATCTGGCAGCCGTGTTTCAGATGTTGAAGTTAACTGTATGCAACCAGTAAATGCAATTTTTATTTTATTATACTTTATTTACATATTTTATTTATTGATTTTGTGTTTAAATTTATTATTAAGACCTTTAACTGTGTTATTTTTATCTTAAATTATGTATATTTGGTGCTGTTAATGGAAATGGATTAATTCACTTTCCTTTATTTTTAATGGAACTTGCTTTGATTTCAAACAGCTTCCTGGAATGAATAAAATTAGAAGTTCAAGGCACACTGTACTTATTTTAACCTATGATACAGAGTAGCAACATCATGTTAAACATCTGCACATAAAATATTGAAAAATATACTGGGAATTATTTTCAAATGTAATTGTGTTTTCAAAAAATACTAATATTTTCTAAAATTACATTTGAATTTTAACAAAAGTAAAACAGAAACAATAGAACAAACAAAAATAGGCTGATTTTTATAATTATTTTACCCCAACTGATTCTACTGTAGTTTCTTCAATAGTATTTACACAGATTACTGTTTCTTCTATTCATCACAAAATGAAACAACAGTCTTCTATTTTCAAATCCTTTTTTTTTATAAAATTATTTAATAAATATTAAATTATTAATAGTAGCAAAAAATAGCCAATTAATTACAAAGATTGTTTGGTGTATTATGCAATATAATCCCTGAATCATGAAGGAAAGAGTTAGCTTACACCATGAAGAAAATGGCATACCACAAAACTGATATTTATAATTCTACTCAAGTATATAAATTGTAGAGAGGGTGTTTACACATTTTTAGAACATTTTCTTGACATATTAATGTTTTAACCTGTTGCCATATATATTTTGTGTATTATTCTATTTGTTTATTTTTTTATTTTTGTTCTGAAAATGTGTAAAAACCCTCCGTATAAACTTTGTATCTGTAATTACGTAGGCTACTGTATTTATATTTTCTCAACATACAGTACATTTCTCTCAATTAAACTATTTAATCGCCTCCAAAATAATAAAAATCACTATTTTACTTCATTATTACTGAAGAAATGACACTCAAAACAAAAGTTAAATGCAAAATTTAGAAAGTACTATCTTTGTTCTCATTGACAAACTACAAGTAAACAAGATGCAAGTTGTCATGGAGATAAATCTTATTCAATAATCAAAATATTCTTATCTGTAGATGATAATTAGAATATATGTATGTATAATGTATAAACTTGGATATACAGTATATACAAAACTAATACAAAAACTATTAAATTTGCCTTGTTCAACACTTCAAGAAACCATGAAAATGTTTATAGAAATGTTTCCTCTTATTTACTAGTTTATAATTAAAATTTTTTTTTAAATTGATCTTAAATTTAAATTCAAACAATATCAATTATTATACCAGACTGCGTCGTTCCGAAACCGAATCCTGTTTGAGTGGAAGAAAATCCATCATATCTTCTAGCCATATTATTATACTTAAAGTAGTCTTTAATTTCAAAATATACATTTCATTCCGATACTAAATGCATTTTATCAACTTAATTTTCATTCATAATCATTAATATCAACAAATCCTAACAGTTTAAAACGTGCGGCCTATTCTTCTCGAAAGTTGCCAAATTTCTCGGTAGAAGGCGCCGCTTTTACCCATAAAATATAAAAGTTTTATCATAATTTTTTTAAGCTTTCATCAATTTGAAAGACGATTTAAAAATTATTTAAATAAAATTTAAAAGAAAATAGTATTCGTGAAATAATTATTAACTTTATATATTAATTGCTCTGTGTATGGGTACATTGAAATACGTATAGTAGCGTCGACTACATACAGTATACAGTTTAATAGTTGGCCGATGGCCGAGCGGTCAAGTGGCAGCCTACCGCTCTGGGAGATCCGGGATCGAATCCGGACGGGTCAAGAAATCCGCAGGAATTTTTCGGGGTGGTCTGTTCGGATATGTCGGGCCCCGTCCCTCACCACCGAGTCGCCCCATTGTGGGCCTGGTCAAACTTATAATGGGCTTGCTTAAAGAGGCCCTCTTAGTGCCCACACGGCGAAAAGAGTATTTAAAAAAAAAACAGTTTAATAGTGGGCATTAAGTGGAACTTTATAACCATATGTTCCGCCAGGCTCTGAATGGAGCAGCCGGGTGGTAAGAGACAGGACCCGACAAATCCGGGACAGATCGCCCATGAAAAATGCCTGGGGTGGTTGCTTGGATTCCTGGGTTTCCCGTAGCGGTAGCTAGAGAGAAACTGACTCAGTCACTCTAGAAAATTTCTTTCTTTCTGTCGTTGATTGGTTGATATGGAATGTTCAGCACGTATAGGCTCTATACTCCGAAAGAGCGAGGTTATGAACGCTAGGCGTCCGATGAGTCGGCCTTTTATAGATGGAATGGACACACGCGTGCGGGAAAAATAATATCTTCCGGGAGATCTTTTAAGGGAAACTGGCCCCTATTCAGATTACAGACGTGGAGAAAACCCGGAAAACTCCACGTGGCCAGCCCGTCCGAGCGAGGCGCGAACCTACGAATGAACTCCCCGTGTTCAAGGTACGAAGACCACTTAGCCACTGGTGGGTTTTTTTTACCGAAAGAGACTTCGACTCGAAGAATCTTCCGGGAATTCAGGGACGAAGATTGCTTGACTCTAGAAAATTTTGAACCACCCCAAACATATAAACAGAATTTCGTCATTTGAAACAGGGGGTTCCAAATGACGAAATTCTGTTTACATGTTTATCTAAAAATATAAATAAAAAATCGTTAACATATAAATTTTGGATATTTTTGTGCTGTTTTGTACGTACTGTATATTATTTAACAGGTTACTAATTATAATTGATACAAAGCGTCTACATCCCTCATTAATAAAGTTAATTCTGATATGTCCAAGATCTATATCATTTTAAATAGGCCCGCAAACCTATCATTTAATCATTCTCCTGAGATTGCACTTATTCGCTTATATCTCCTTAGTATACCAGGCAATTTATTTCGATAGAATTTTAATTTATAAACTTTAACAGCCGATTGCAGAGACAACGTTTACAGATCGGGTAGACCGCTGTTCAGAAAAATTTCATTGCAGAGATGGCGTTTCTCGCCTGCCACAATATAGACCGCGATTAGAAACAAGTTATTTGACCTATTTTCTAGACTCACTCGACAGCAGGTTTAGAGAGCTTTTCAATTTGAGTGGTAGCTTTGTTCGTGGAAAAGTTTAGATAAAAACAGATATAGTTTCTTTGATAAATGTTGTGAACGGTACGAATTGACAAAATTATTCATTAATTAATTGCTTGGTGCAAAAACAACAAAATTAAATACTGTACTTTAAATTTGTTTTAAATGTTCCAATTTCGATATTCAAATGGGTGAAGACTTAAAACTTCAATTAATTTAATTTAATTGTAAATAAATGCAGATGCATTTACAGTAGAGCATCGATTATCCGACTCAATTGGGGACTGGGGTTGGTCGGATAATTGAAAAGTCGGATAACCGAAAAGTATGAAAAAATTTATTATTAGTGTAGTATATTATTATATCCCATGTAATTAGTATATCGCTATTAACCTACTTCGCGTTGAATTTTCCTCCATGTTAAGCCTATAAAATTTTTTTAAAAATAATTGTCGCTATTGCATCGTTAAAAATTATTTCTTTATTTCGCACAAAATAAATACAGTACTGTAGTGTACATTGAAAAATATTTTAAAATATACAGCCTGCTAGTATTCACCCTACTATAAACCCTTCGCCTCCTGTAAGTTTTATGAGAATGTCCCGGGAAATCCAACACCAGCTGTTCTCAAGGTCATCCAGCAACACAATAACTCATCAGTGTCAAATTTCGCAGAAAGGCGAGACAATGGAAAATAAAGTTTGAAGCTTTTTCTTCAAAAATAACGCATTTCTTTCGTTTTTTTCAGTTTTAAGTATTTTTTATGTTTAATTATAAGGTAATTAAAAACTGATCGGAGAGGAAGCGGTTAATTAATAAGAACATTTATTAGCTTGCGCACACCCGACTTGGATCTTTACACACAAGACATCTGCTATCGTGAACAATTGACGAAATAAAAATGTACATTTATCAGAGAATAGACAAAGACTCAGTTTGTAAACAATTTACCTTTTGTATATACAACTGACACTCGATCCACAGCGGTCTTTCAATAACCGGACATAAAAAATGAACAGATGACGCTTAACTTAAGCGCGGTTTACAAAACGAATATGATTAATCTTAACCACTCATAATTAAAAAATTAAGCCTCGTTTAAATACTGGCCTCCCTTTCATGGTCGAGCCAGTGTAGCCAGCTAAAACACGCAAAAATAATATTAAAGTAGCCAAGACATGGGCAAATATTGTAGCGCCACATCACTAGCGGACATTTGATTTTGCCGATTAGAACGCGGTCGGTTAACCGAGGTGACGGTTAATCGGGGTCGGATAATCGATGCTCTACTGCAGTGGTTCCCAACCTTTTTTCATTAGCGTACCCCGTGACATGTCATATCTCTAGATTGTACCCCATGACATGTCATATCTCTAGATTGTACCCCTCATTTAAGAAATTTAGTGAGTAAGCGTTATTGTTAATTTTACATATTGTAACTTTAAATTAAAGAAAAAAAACCTAAAAGAAAAAATGTATAATAAAGTTGTGATTGTTGCAAGGAACATTTTTTATCTAATAATTTTTTAATACTATTAGTTTGTGATACATAATATATTATTTTTTCTGCCATAATAACTAACTATTTCCTGTACCCCTAAACAACCTATCGCGTACCCCTAGGGGTACGCGTACCACAGGTTGGGAATCGCTGCTCTACTGTACTTACAATTCGAGTATCGTGTCGGTTATAAAACATTAATGCATTTTGGAGTCATTGTACTTTTTTTTAAACTCTTTCCGCCCTGTGGGCACTAAGAGGGCCTCGTTTTTTGCAAGCCCATTATGAGTTCGGCCAGGCCCACAATGGGAATGCTGGGTGGTGAGGGACGGGGCCCGACATATCCGAAAAATTCCTGGGGATTTTTCGACCCGTTCGGATTCGAACCCGGGTCCCCCAGAGCAGTAGGCTGCCATCCGGCCGCAAAGATAAACGTGTAATAACATAAATGATGTGTGAATTGATGATTTTTGAAGTCAAGAATAATTTAATAAACATGTTCTGTTTTTTGATGCTGTATTACAATCGAAACAAAGCTTAGATTTAAATTTTCAGATTTTTTCCGATTAATCGGGTGGCAGGATGGTGAGGGACGGGGCCTGTCATATCCTAACGGACCAGCCCCGAAAAATACCTGGGGATTATTTGACCGGCCCAAACTCGATCCCAAGTCCTCCAGAGCGGTAGGGTACAGCCTTGGCCGCACGGCCATCTGGCCAATGCCGAGAGGTCAGAGCTATGAAATAGAGGATGAAATAGCTATGTTTAGGTAATGTTTTAACGAATAATTTATGGTTAATTAAAGAATTTTCTGATCCCCTGTTACTACTTGTGATTTTTACGTTTCTGTGAGTGGTTTACCTTGGTTTTCATGGTTTATCTTGTAATTAGGTAAAAGCAAATTAATGCGATAACCCCAAAAAATGCAGTACAGCTTATGACCGAGTGATCGCGGGCACTAAGCAAGATCCTAGAATATTCTAGGACCTTGGGCACTAAGGGCTAGGACCAGCTGCCTAATTTGGGCAGCGACAAAGAAGAGAGTGGGATCAAACATGGTCCATCCACCCATCCAAAACCATCGAATATCGATGTTTTTAAACAATCGTAAACAAGATCAATCGACGTATGAAACCATCGATGATAATCGTGCCATCGCGCAGCTCTACATAACAACTTTCTAAAGTAAATGAATGGACGATCAGATGACCGAAACAGTAAAAGCATTGATATTTGAGGAAGCTGATTTCAGGTCAGGATGGAAATCTCAAATATGTTCATGGATGATTTGACTCTGACAGGTCCCTTACCAGCTGGCAGACCTTTACGAGCCTAACAACCCGTGGTGAGCATGGAAAAAAAAACAAACCATTGGTGTCTACAGGATTAGATAAACTGAATGATATATCATTAGAAAGAAAGTATAACAATATAACATATTGCCGTTAAAATTCTATGTTAAAAAATTTAATATTTTATATGTATTTAATCGATAGAAAATTGGCAAGTGTGTATGACGTGAGATGTCGCTGCAATCTCATTTATTAACTTCATATGATTGAGTTTAGTCGTGTCGAGTGGGTCTGTTTATAAGTTTGATGAAAACATGGAAGTTAAAACTGGAAACGAACTATTGGATTCGAAAATCCAAGAATGGTTAAATTGGGATAAAGTAAGTAATTAATTAAACCAGTTATCCTACTCTCAGCTTTTGCGACAATTACATAATCTTATGTAATCAACTAATGTATCAATGTTTATTAACGTTTACATTGCCTGTTCATGAATAATATAGATATTGAAGAGTAATTTGCTAATTAAGAATGATTATGTATGGTTTAATGGATTAGATGATTATTATTTAATGTAAATGTCCTAACATTTGTATTTTCTAATTTGGAGCAATGTCAAAGTAATTATGTTGAA